CTACAGTATTTTTACAGTCTTTATTTTACAGTTAAAATAAATGTTTTTCAAATAAAGTTTAATGTTACAACTAATCGTGGATCCCTTTAAAGGAAAAGTTGTTGTTGTTTGTTTTCTCTGCAGCTTCACATGCTGGGTGAAGGCAGCAGAGGGGCTCTGATTGAAATGACTCTGGCCAAAGTCCAGTACATGAGCAGTGAGTGTCTCTTTCAGGTTTTTTTATTTAAACTCTGTAAACCTTTGTGAATGAAATGAAACGTTGCTGCTGCATGTTTGTCCAGAAACCACTCAGATCGTTGGAATGAGTGCCACCCTGGGAAACATCAAGGATCTGCAGACGTTTCTGAGCGCAGAATATTACACAAATGACTTCAGGCCTGTAAGTGAAAAGAAACACCCAGCATTTTTGCCAGAGCATGACATACACATTCTTATTTCAGAGGTCAACACTGAGGTCATGGAGGTACTGCAGGCAGGTCAAGATGTTTTTTATGGTTATGTCTTTAAACACACATTAACATAAATCCAGCATGTAGCAAACTGATAAATGGAGGCATAAATTAATGCATTTCAGTCAGAAATGCACACATTTAGTTGGCATTATTACTAATACTATGCTAATTATTGTAACTTTTCTAAAGCACTGCAGCTCCTAATGATAATAGTCCACAACTAAGTCAGTATTCAATATTTATACAGTACGTAAGGGGTGGTTTCTCGCTCCATCAGTTTGAGGGTCCTAGTCTAAAAAACATCAAAGACCCTTGACTTATTTTGATAGAAGTATCAGACAACCTACAGTAAGTATGTGTGTATGTCGTGACCCCTCAGTTTTTGAGCTTAAAAAGCATAAAACAAATCTCATGTATAATGCTACCCCCAGTTTTGTACAGACTTCAGGATTTTACAGACCGTGCGGTGGACCCATTGGTGGGGAAACAGATTATTCTGGAGACACACGCCTGTGGTTGAGTTTGTGGCTTCAGAGAAGCAAAAGATCGAGGGAGGAGCAGCACACATCGCTGAAAATGATCCTCTCCCAGCCAGAGCTGAAGCTGATGGTTAAATTAGCGAGACGGACAGCTTTGAGGAAGGGAAATTATGATGATTCGTGATCTGCGACACAATATTTCAGTTATATGCAAGAAAATATTGAAATTTATTGTAGAAGTACTTTGGCATAAAAAAAGGGTCAAAATTCAATTTTTGGATGCTTTTTGGGATTAAATGTTTTGTAAAATACACACATAAATACTGTAAACTTTAACGGGATTAAGTGTAGCACCTCCAAATTAGGTGCTGTCAGCTAGACCTGTGTTTGGGAATGATACCTTCTAAATGTGCTCTCCTGTAAAACTGAAATGAATGCTGTGAGTCTTTAGTAACCTTTTAGTAAATTGTCTAATTTTCAGGTTCAGCTGAAAGAATATGTTAAAGTGAGTGATACAATCTGTGAAGTCGACCCAAAAGAAGAGAACGGCTTCAAATTCTCACGTCGGCTGAACTTTAAAGTAAGTTAACCATATTAAACCAGTGCTTCCTGAGTTACTGTTACTGTGATTTTATTGTTATATTTTATAAAATATACTTATAATTCGACTCAGGACAAGTTAACAATCTTTTGATATTGTTCCAAATTGATTAATGTATATTTCTTTTAATTTTATTTATTTAAAAGATTGATTAAGTTATTAGAAATACCTCTCAGTGATTTCTACAACTTCAGAAGGACTGATGTGAAAAGGAGGGGAAAAGCAGCCATTAGTCTAAAACGTTTGAAAGGTTTTCAGCAAGACCAGGATCATTTTGCTAAAATTCACTTGAAAAAATTAAATAAAAGTGAAGTCTGGCTAGTCGGAGTAAAATTATAAAGAATAAAACGATGGATGGATGCTTTAGGACAGGGCTAGAAGAGGGGTTTCATTTTAGTACCATTTTATCAAACAGCACAAAATACCATTTAAAGGGATCCCCAATTAGTTGTAACATTAGACTTTATTTGATAAACATATACTTTAACTGTAAAATAAAGACTGTAAAAATACTGTAAGCTGCTTAGTTTTTATAATTTTTAAACTAAACGTTTAAAAACATATTACATGGACGGAGCCATTTTATTTACACGCAAAGCATTCTGGGAAATTGATGACATCAACTAGGTCATTGGTGTGAGGCTGCTAGCGAGCGATATCCACCCTGAAGATTAATCTTGGACAATATCTGACGATCGGCTCTTTTAAATGAAACCAGAGAGCGTTGACAGAGAGGAGAAGTTAGAAATGATTCAGCCTGTAACTGAAAATATGGATGGGGGACAACAGAGCTGCTTCATGGAAGAAGAACCTCAGCTTAGCCTGTTAGCTTTAGCGTTAGCCCTGACGCTATCACCATATATATGTATTAGCTCAGCGCTACACATTCTCCTCTCGTCACTGAGGTCCTCCATCCACATGACAGAGAGGGGTACGCAAAAATGACTCAGTCTGCAACTGAAAATATGGATGGAGGACCTCAGTTTAGCTTGTTTGTCGCGCTAGCGCCGAGCTAATACATATAAGGCAATATAGCGTGAGGGCTAGCGCAAAGGCTAACAGGCTAAGCTGAGGTTCTTCTTCCATGAAGCAGCTCTGTTGTCCTCCATCTATATTTTCAGTTACAGGCTGAGTCATTTCTACCTTCTCCTCTCTGTCAACGCTCTCTGGTTTCATTTAAAAGAGTCGATCATCAGATATTGTCCAAGATTAACCTTCAGGGTGGATATAGCTCACTCACACCGAGGACCCATCCATGTCATCATTTACCCAGAATGCTTTGCGTGTTAATAAAATGGCTCTGTCCGTGTTCAAATATATTTAAAAAAAATGACAAAACTAAACAGCCTACAGTATTTTTAGTCTTTATTTTACAGTTAAAATAAATGTTTATTAAATAAAGTTTAATGTTACAACTAATCGTGGATCCCTTTTAATACTCTTTAAATGTGCTGATCTGTCTTTACGCTGCAGTATTCCAGTGCCATGCAGAAGACTGACCCGGATCACATCATCGCTCTGGTGACTGAAGTCATCCCAGCACACTCATGTCTGATCTTCTGCCCCACCAAGAAGAACTGTGAGAACGTGGCAGGGATGATCTGCACATATCTGAAGGAGTGAGTAAACTGTGCATTTGATTTCTACGCTGCTCCTTCAGCTGCACCCACCGGTTCTGACTTCCTGTCTGCTCCCTCACAGGAACTTCCTGCAGCACCACCAGGACAAGAAGACCATCCTCCTGCAGGAGCTGAAGGACAGCGGGAACGGCTCGGTATGTCCGGTGCTCAGGAAGACTGTACCGTACGGCGTGGCCTACCACCACAGCGGGCTGACCTCACAGGAGAGGAAACTAGTAGAGGAGGCTTACGCTAACGGTGTGCTCTGCCTCCTCGCCTGCACCTCCACCTTGGCTGCAGGCGTCAACCTGCCTGCCCGCAGGTCAGGTCACATTTCAGTTGTTTTCATCTCAGTCAAAAACTTCTATGAATCCTTACAGCTCTCAGTCCATGAGTGTGTCATGATGTTTGTTCTGTTTTCATTCTTGATGTCAGATAGTGTTGTGTCGTTCACGAATGATTCATTTATTTAAATGAATCAATTCAGTGAACAAACTGAATCACATCACTTCATTAACGGATTCGTTCAGTTCCCAGTACAGTTGAGCTCACCAACACTCCAAACTAATGTCTCTTTAAGAGTCGATCACAAGCACAGCGCCACTCCTGTACAGTGGTGAACGTTGTAAGTGCACAGATTCGTTCAGACACTGAGACCCATTGATCTGACACAGCGTCACTCGCCCACCACTGCCTCTCACGGTCTGGAGTGAAACCTGCTGTGAGCAGTAGGTTAGTAAATCTTGAGTCAATGAAAACTAGATATAAGTGGGAAATACTAAATAAAAACCAAAAAGATTTTTTAAAATATTTAAATGAAATATCCACTTACATCTAATCAAAATAAAATGAATATACCTCATTTACAA